TGGCAAGAAGATATAAAAATGTGATTCATATATACTGTGAGATATTACGTAATAATTTTTTTAAAATCTGACATCCTGCCAATTGGAATCACACAGATAAACTGGGTTACATTATGTTAAGTAAACCGAGGCAAGATCTGACCTTTAAATGGAAACTTACGAAGTTAATCTCGTAAGAAGTTTTGAAAGTAGGATGGTGCTTCCCAGAGGCTGGAGAAAGTCGGTGGAAGGAAGAAACAGGGAAATGCTGACCAACAGGTAAGTAACTAAGGTAGGCTGGTTCTCAAAAAGTTTGCGGAAAATGGAACGAAAAGCTAAATTCATTTTGGTGTAAAATTATTTGAAATCAATTCATATAAAAATCTTAAAATGTTCGTGAAAAATGTGACTATGACAAAACTATGCATGAATCTCAAAGTCTTTTACATCAAAATAAATCTTTTAATTTGATTCTTTTTAAAGTGTGTATGTGTGTGATTTGAGAGGTATAGAGGCAGGAGGAAAGAAAGACGAGAAAGAAATAGAGATATTTGGAGAGAACTCCAACTTTCTGATTCACTCCCCAAATGCTCACGAGGCCAAGGTAAGGCCAGGCAGGGCAGGAATAGAAAACACAATCCAGCTGTCACATGTTTACCCAGTCACTTGAATCATTGCCACGTTCCCAAATTCACGGTGGCAGGAAGCTGGAATTAAGAGATGGCTGTGAGAATAAAATCCAGGTACTCTTTCATCGGATGCGACTAGATTACATGCCCACCCTTCAATATCATTTTTGCAAAAGCTTTTTGAAGTATCCTTAATAGATAACAGAAAGATGTTCTGGCATTCTAGTGCATCTTAGAATATCATCGATAGTGATAATGTATTGTCTATTTCAACAAGAGCAAGAACAAAGGATTTTAAATGTTTCCAGCAGAAAGAATTAATAAATGTTTGAAGAGATAAATAAGCTTAGCCTGATAGGAGTACTGCACAATGTATGTCTGTATTAAATTATCACAAGGTATTCCATAAATACAAACAGCTAGTACATGACAAATAAACAAAAGCATTGTACAGCAAATACATAAACCAGTACTCACAGGAGCTTATTACCATCATCAAACACTGAGTACTGTGATAAGAGTATGTCTTACTTTTACATGCCCAGCAGTGCAGCAGATTTGTTTATACAGCATTACCACAAACACAGAGTACATTGCACTATGATACTATGACAATTGCAGTGTCACTAGGTCATAGGAAGTTTCTATCTCCACTGTAAACTTATGGAGCAACCTTCATATATGTAGTCCATAGTAAACAAAATTCCACTACGTGGCACATGGCAGAAGTATAACAGTTTGAAATTTTTCATTAACTTCTCACACAGTCTATTATTTCATATTTGAAAAATGAAGATTATGTATATACTTAACACATAAAATGATGCAAAATAAAACTTATTTTCATTTGAAAGCTTGTTGTTTAATAAGATTATAATGCACTTAAAAAGGCATTTCTTGTAAAACACGTGATCTTTCAAATCCACAGTTAAAAAATTTTAGTAAAACTTCAGTTTTTTTTAAAAGAGGTTTAAATATGCCACATGCCAACCTTTAATATAATTTTTTTAGAAGACCTAGTTTGAAGTGCATGCTAGAAATTTTGTAAGACCTGTATTTCCTTTTTCAAGAGGAAAGGATCACCTTAAAAATTAAAAAAAAAATAATAATCCTCACGAAGACCTTGGTGACATAACTGTAAATATCACACATAATCTATGATCGTCTTCATCTTTCACGTATTCCTTAAATCAGTGCAGAATTCTTTAAGATAACTCCTGGCCACACTTTCCTTGCCTGTGTTGTTGCTATGTGTTACTTCAAAGTAATGTCTGTATTCCTTTCAATATATTTTTGCAAGTCTTACTGGTCATTTATCCAGACTAGTTTTCCTTTCTCTCATGTTCAATGAACTGCACAATAAGAATAGCAAGAGCCAGGCCAGGAGCCAAGGCTCAGTGGCTAAATCCTGCCTTGCATACACCAGGACTCCACATGGGTATCAGTTCGTGTCCCAGCTGCTCTACTTTCCATCCAGCTAATACAGTAGAGGATGGCCCAAAGCCTTGCAACCTTGCACCTGCGTGGGAGACCCAGAAGAAGCTTCTAACTCCTGGTTTCAGATTGGTTCAGCTCTGTCTAATGCGGCCACTTGGGGAGTGAACCAGAAAATGGAAGATCTTTCTCTGCCACATCTTTTCTTTGTAAATTTGCCTTTCCAATAAAAATAAATAAATCTTAAAAAAAAAAAACAAGAATAGCAATAGCTAACAACACAGCACAACACCTTACAGCTTGCAAAGAATATTTACATATTCTCATTTAAGTTTTGCATGGTGACCTCTTACGAGATGTTTCTTGGCATCATTGCTAAGTGGTAGAATCTTTAAATTAGTACTGTCATTAAACATGCTATTGTGCTGAAGAATGTAGACTAGTTTCAAGCTGTGTGAAATCATCAAAATTGGAAGGTGAGTTCTTTAGTTACTTGAATCAGACCTACTTTTGTAAGTGTTGCATTTCTGTTATTTGTATTCATTCTTTTCTAGCCTATAGTTTATACAAACTTATCACCTGTTATTTTTTAAAAAGTCCCCCCCTCCCAAAAAAAAGAGGTTTAGATAAAGGGGTGGGAACTTACTGTATTAGCAGCCAATGCTATTAGTAAAAGATGACAAGTTAATTATGTTGCAATTATTTTTGTTTTATATTATTTTGGAAAGCTTGGCAGACATGCAAATTGATTTAATCCTATTGAAAAAAAAGGGAGTGTTTGCAGCCATCCTCTTCTACAGGTATATGAATGTGGAGAAGCCTGGAGAGTACAGCCTGTCATATTTTTGTTTCAGCACATGTTGAAGAATCAAAGTCCATCACATTCCTGTGACCCAGGGGAGCTGCGTGAGACAGGATTCAGATAACCAAAGAAATCCACATTCCAGAGGAGTTTCTGTAGTTACTCAGTGAAAATGTGGACGAAATGCCAAGTATTACAACAGTGACATCAGCGGACAGATCTGTCTGCATCCCCAGTAGTCCTAGCTGATTTGTCATGCATTGTTTATTCCATACTCAAAACTGGGCCTGATAAAGAAAACAGCAGGTTTAGTTAGCTAAAATAACATTCATGTCTAGGGGAAAAAGAATGTTGTGAAGGAAGCCCTATCAAGGCTATTTGGGAAAAATAAAAATTCATTTCTCCACATTTACTGTTAAATTTTAAGCAGATAACTTTAATCTCTCCCTTTAACCACCAAACTGGTTTTTGATGATCATAAAAGACAATCCTATTTGTCTCACAAAATCGTGACATAATATGAACATTGTTTGCAATTCACTGTCAAAAGATTGGAACTCAGCAGTGAAACAGAGCTGTGTGTTGAAGAGAGAATGCCATCCACGTACTCAATCCCTCCTACACTGAGAAGTGTGTGGTAATATTGACCAATGAAATCATTCTACTATCTATAATTGCTTGGCTTGCTAATTAATTTTCATAATTTGGGTTCTAGTAGTCAGAAGTCTAGCAAGAAAAAAAGACTATGATTTCCAGATAACATTTTTACCCAAAATATGAAACAAACATGCCAGACACCTTTTCTTCGGTAACTCCTCTGCTACACCGTCGTTTGACCCTTTACCACAACTTGGTGAGGCGCAGTGAAGGCAAACATTACTCTTGCCGAAATATCACATAGCCAAATCTTTATTCCCTGGCAGCTGACAGTTTTTCCTGAGATCCACCTGTTTAATTCAGCATATAATATGACCAAAAGGGTTACCAAATCCTTTTTCTCCACCTAGCAACAAGTTCCTTTGACTTTATTTCATATTCTCCCTAAGTGATACTTAGAAAATCAATTCAATCATTAACGGCTCCTTTATTGCTTGCCAAAAATATGGATTTATTTTAAATTTGCTGAAACTTCTATCGTCATATGACAAATGCATGTATCAACTTCTTATGTACATGCATATATACATATATATATACAGGATTTGATTTTATATATCAAATATATGGTAAATATATATATGTTTTTTAGTCAAATTGAGTAAAAAAGAAGTAAAAGGGGTTAGATTGTCCTTTTAAAAGAATAATTCAAGTTGAAGCAGCTGTGTTCATAAAGTGACATAGTGTTCATTGTATTAATCGGCTATGGTATATTGGCAAAACTCTTAAAGCTAAAATTTAAAAAACCAAGCTGTTAAGAACTAAAGAAATTCTAACCTTAACTGCATTGTGATTTAGACTGTCAACAAAATTATCAGAACAGCTATTTTGGAGATAATTTCTAGGCACTGCTTAGAGTATGCCACTTGTATTTGACTCAAATATGCCTTCTCAAACAATCAAATATTTGCTCCAAGTTCTACTTCAGGATGTTTGTATTTCATCAACTAAAAAGTTGAAGTCAAGTGTCTGTTTTCAGTGGGACTTGAGCATGAAACCAGAGGATTGCCAAAATTTGTGTACCTAATGAAACATTAAGGAAATCATTTACTACCAGATAAAAGTCAGTCTGAATATTTCATTTTGGTTTTGTCATAAATTTTCCTCTACATGGAGGATAATGGAGGCAAGTTTATGCTCATTGAACTTACCTTTACAGATACGTAAACATTGTATTTTTTTCTCCCAAGATCAATGCTACCTCTCCTAGGAAGGATGGCAATGTGAAAAAATTGTTCAAATAGACTTCTTTGTTCATTCCATGTGCCTATGCCAAGGGACTAGCTGTGCAGAATATCAAAGGATGGATTCATCCGTACAAGAAAGCATAACATTTTATATATAGTAATTATGCAATAAATAGTTGTGGAAGTGAATCGCATGCTAATCCTTGAATCACCCCTAATTAACTGAAATGGTAAGCTCCATTATTTCACACATTTAACTGCCGATTTCACAGCAGCCCATGACACTGCTCTATTGGATAATTCGTGTTTTCTTCAGTAGATATTGACATACTCCTATTTTCCAACTTAAAACTTGAGTTATCATCTAGCAACCTGATAATTACATATCAAATATCACCAGCTTCCTATGTATCTTCTCTAGATGCACCTTGGGAGATAATTCATTGGTTTGTAATCAGAAAAATTTTTAAATTGATCTGAAACAAACAAAAAAACTACACAGAACAAATAGTTCATTTGGAAAATTTTAAAGTTACTATGATTTAATACCACATGCTTTGCAGTTACAGAGTCATTCTGAAGCAATGCCTGTGGGACTTTAAATGTGTAATTCTGAATAATAGTTGACAATGAAATAGTTCAGTCTCTTAAATCTCTCTTTAGAAGGTTAAACTTTTGTTTCAAGGTAGACCACTCACAAAATCTTATACAATTCAATGGTAATCTCCCTATTGTTTCAGGATTTATTAGACTTGGTCTCTGAAGACCCTGACTTCACAGGTACAAACAAACTAGGACGGGTTTGTGTTTAAACTATTCTATAACTAAATATGAAGTGTTTTTTTAAATTTATACTTTTCAATGTACATGACTGTCTTCTTAAAACCATGAAATACGAATTGACATAGTTGATCTATCATTATGTGCTGATATATTTTACAGTAGTAGATGAAAATTTCAGTCAATCCTAAAAAGAGCAAAAAAAAAAAATAGAGACAAGGAAATCCTCTGCCATTGTCTATGTTTTATCTATTTTTAAAAACCATAGAGGGGGAAAAATGTGCCCAGGGGAAAAAAAAATGAAGCTTTACTGCAAAAGAAATGAACGCAAGAAATCGCACGTTAAGTAGTGGAGGGACGTGAAACATTGCAGCTTCACGGCTCTAAGGAGCAACAGCTGTACCTAATTTCAACTTGACGTGCTTCAGATCTCATATTCATACAGGTATTTAATGATCCAAACATAATGGTCCTATATAGAATAATTACTTATAGGAAGGAGCAAACTTCATACGCATTCCTTTGTAAATGATCCTTCAAGAGAAAAACTGCACTGGCTCTTTGAACAATGAATAGCCTCTTTCACCAATCCAAATGTTTGGAGCTAAAACAGCTTATCTTTTAACAGAGAATAACCAGGGTGCTGAAGCTACTTCCTTTTGACAGATTCTTTCTGTTTTCCCTCTTCCCAGTAGAGCCAACACAAGGAGCAAAGGAAGAATGCTAAACCTATCATTAGGTCATAGTGGTAAACGGTTATAAGAAATACCAAAAACAAAAGGAAATAAGGTATTTGAGAGTTGGTGTATTTTGAAAGAAGAGATTCCCTGCCTTCATCTTGACTTTCCTGCACAGGGAAACTGGCAGAAGAAGAACTCGCAAATTCCTTGTCACCTAACAAGCCTAGTGACTGTCCAGAATTAATTAACCCTTCACTTCCATGCCTTTCCTTTCCCATCTTCTCACGAGATTCACTGATTAAAATCGTTGGCCCTTGCGATATTTCCGCACTGCGTTCTTCCAGCTGGAAAATCTGGCCTAATGAATTGCCTATTCTAGAGTCCGACATTACTCTTCTTGGACTTCTGGAAGATTCTTCAGGTTTACATTCAGGTCGACCCTGGGTTTCACCTGCTGATTTACAATTATGTTCCGACTTGGCAGCAGAAGTTTGGGTGATGGTGGTAATAGCTGTATTCGCTCCAGCCCTTGCCTGTCCCCAAGGTGGCGCTGCAGTCTCCTCGTGGCGATGAGAAAGAGAGTCGTTCTGAGAAGCTCTGCTCAGGTCTGAGGTAAAGGCAGAATGATAAGGGGCATACACCTCTGTTTTCTTTGGTAATTCTTGGACCTGCCCAAGATCTCCATTCTTGGAAAGTGATTTTTCTTCGGCCGATGGCATTTCCAAATGTGAATCCCATTTTGAAGTTGCTTTTTGATGACTTGTAATGACCTGCAAGGATTCTTCTACAGAAGTGATATTTCCAATGCCACATGTCTCCCTGTCATGTCTCTTGCCAGGGCTGTACGTATTCGCGGCTTCTTCCTTCTGCCTTTCATCTGCACGTACATTACAAATATCTAAACGGGATACATTCTCAAAACCATTGTCATCAGTTGAGCTGACTGTGTCTCGTTGACAAAGGGTATAACGTGCCTCATCACTTCTCCCTTCATGTGGATCAAACACTGCTTCCTTTACCTTGATGGGCCTGTCACTTCGTGCTGTCTCTTGAGGTAGCTTAGCAATTACTGCTTTTTCTCCAGCCGACATGCTTTCTGGAATCCTTTCTGATGTTGTCTTAATTATATAAGCTGTACCTGCTTCTGCTTCCCCAGGAATATTGTAATCCGCTGTTTCTTGGCAGGTAAACAACGTTTCGGCAGGAGTAGCTTTCAAGCTCCCAGTGTTATCTCTTTTTCCCCACATGTCTTCACAGTCTGCTTGTTCTTTGATCTGCTCTGTTATATTTATCTTACTCCCTCTTGCTTTTCCCTGACTCTCCTGAGCATTCCAACATGGTTGATGCTGCATGCTCTTACCCTGACCTTCAGGATGGAGCCAACCTAGTTTTTCTTGTTCAACTTGGAAAAGGAACTGATGCCTGAGAACATCTCCACTGCTTGGTGAACATTCTTGACCAGCTAGCCCTCCTAAGGGAGTGTCTTCCCTAGCTGAGACATCACGTCCAGTTTCTTCAGAACTGGAAAATGTCCTTGCACATTGAAATGTATCTGCCATGATTTCTTGGCTAGGAATTGAGCTATCTTTGCTTGGTAGAGAAATTCGGTCTCTGTCACCAGCTTCAGTCACTTCCATGGTTGTTTCAAGGTGGCCCATCTTTGTTTCTTGGTCATAGAACACTGACGGAACATTTCTACTTGGTTTTTCACTAAACCCTATCCTTTGTACTTTGTTATCTCTACTTTGCACACAGTCTTTCCTGAAAAATCTGTTTTCTGTTGATTCTCCCACATTGGCAGATGCATTCCAATGGCAATCTCTTGGTAAATATTCCCCATCTTTTATTTCAATGTCCTTAGCTCCTCCTTCATATTTTTTATTCAGGCTACCTGTCATCAGTAGACTTGTGGAAGGGCAAGATGTGTCCCCTCTGCCACTCCCATAGGCAGGATTAGCGTTGTCATCCAGGATTGCTTTGTTGCTGATGTGTGACTGAACTGATTCGTCTCTAGCGGTATCTCCCAAAGAACGGTTGATTTCTCCCCCAGCTGAAGGCCGATGACTGGTCTCATTTCCCGAGGAATATTTTTCACTGTGGTAGTGATCATCCTTTGAGGAACTTTCTGCTGATGAACTTGGAAACAAAGACCCTTGAAACGAGTCAGTGTGTACTTCACTGCCAATTCGCTTCGTCTCTAATTCTTCAGCTTTGCTTGGAAAATTGACTGGATCTGATGAAAATGTGTTCCTTTCATCTTCAGAAGGATCACACCGAGCTAAGCGTTGATGTATCTTTTGGAATAAAAAGAACAACAACAAATAATGACAATATGAACTGATTTAGAAGGAAGTAGAGAGGTTCTAGCAACTTGAGTACTAATTATCTGATACATTTCATTGGCTCATTTCATTTGTGGATTTCATATAAACTCTGAAAGCCAGATGTTTTGGGGGGATCCTTGTAACCTGCGACTTGGGAATAAGATTAGTAAGAAAAGGGGCCCAAATTAATCGCTCCCCTTCCAGCTCCAAATATCACATTGTATTATTCAACTATTCTTGCTTGTCATTGCACTTTCTCCTCACTTTGGATATACACATTGATAGCTCCATGCTAATCAATTAGAGAGCAGCTTCCTGGGTACCCCTTGCTGCATTTACACTTGCTGTAGGTGCCCCCATTACAGTTTCTCTTATTAATATGTTTTCTGCAAAGCCTCTGCAAACTATTAATAGCAAAACGTCACTCAAAGAAAAGTGAGGGAGTTAATGTCTCTGCAAATTCTGTTTTAATGACCCTCTGCCAACTGGTACTCAAATGTATTTGAGCTCTTCAGTGATGCCAACTGTCAGGATTTAACAGTGAGATGCCTGTGTTTTTTTTTTTCTTCTCATAACTGACATTTGCATGATCTCAATAATTATATGCAAATCTTACGTTTTCCCCTTCTTCTCACATAAGGCTCATGTTACTTGTCAACTGCACAGCTGTCTTGTAAGCCAATGCCTGTGGGTTCCACAGATTTGGTTGTATTTCCATCTATTACAGAACTTCATTGTTTTATGCATTAATGTCAGTGTGGAGCAAATTAGCATCTAAATTATTGCTCCCTATTCATTTATTGGACATACAATCTCAGTAACTTCTAAACAAACTTTTACATTTGAGCCTGCTCACTGTAATGAGGTGTATTGGAGAAGTATGTGATTTTGCTGGGCCCTTTCATTATATTCTGTGTCTTAAAAAGAAAAAAAAATGGCAATGTTAACTTTCAGCTGGTGAGAATTCTCACAATGGTTGACAACTTTGTAGTTTCTTAAAGTTGGAGCAAAGTAAATTGCATACTTTAGTGATGCACCCACCACATCACCATAGAAAGGTAGAATGTGTGGGAAAGGAGATGAGCTCTATTTCTTTTCTGTTTCAGTGTTGACACTTGAAGAGGCAAGTGTCATTTTAATCTTAGCCGATTATGAATCCATGTATCCCAATGATATGAACTCCAATGAATGCAGAAAAGGGTAAATTGTATTATGTGATTCATTTACTCCTATTTCTCCTTCTGCCATTAAAGTGCTATCTAAACCACCCCCAAAAATCCAAAATAGATTGCATGTTCACCAAGTGTGAAATTTGTGACAACAAATTTAATACTAAATTGTACCATACTGAATTTGTTTCCTGCTTAAAATTATAGCAGAGGCTCTTTTCTCCTCACTTGGTAATTTAGTACTTTGCAATGATATAGAACTTTGAGATTCTTACATGGGTAGAAGTTGGGCTTTAAAAAAAAATGCTGCTAAACGCAAGAATTACAGTCTAGTAGAGTTGGATAGGACCTAATAATCATCGCGTCTAGCCTTCTCATTTTACAGATGAGTTTATGCTAAGTGTACACTTGTCATAAAGATTAGAAATGCACATCAGGGTAGGGCTACCTCTCCTGCAATTCCTACAAACTATTACTCAGAGCCGCTGGTGAAGAGATAAGAAATGAATGTCATTAATTTACCACTGCAGAGACCAGAAGCAACATACTGAAATCAAAGTGGCTTGTTGATCAAGCTGGAAATGCAAGGAGAGCATATGCTGTGCTTTCCCATTTGCAAATTATATTAGTGGAAGCTATTGAAAGACAGGCATTGCAGCATCTTTGAAGCATAAATGAATTCATCTTCTCTAATACCATGGCAAGCAGAACACTTACCATCAGCTCTAATTCTTTTTCATTATGTTCATCATGTTCCACGTTTGCAGCTTTTACATTCTGATAGCTGCTTTCCAAGAGTTCCTTGTCCTCATGGGAACAAACAATGGTTGGGATATAGGTATCTGTAAGGTTAGGAGAATCGTTTCTATGTAAGAATATTTTCATTGTAGGATTTAGCAAGAGGTAAGTTTTATTTAAAAATTAAATAAGAAATATTACCTTTAATTTTTGAATTTTCAAAATTATTTTCTTCTGATGCTTCTGATAATTCTTCCTTACTGTTGAAATGAAAACAAAATTTATACCTGTTTCTTCTTGGACTATATTTGTTCAGTATTTTTATAAAGGAGGGAAATCGAGTCTATTACAAACCAAATAAATATACACAACATTCCCCATAATTTATTCTATTATGTTGTATATTTTTTAGGCAAAAATGATCTTTTAGACTGTGTAGTGATTATTAATCATAGATAAATGTTAAAATAACTCACAAAATTCCACTTTTTTAAAATAACTAGCAACATTGAAGCTAACTGTAAAAATACATGTAAATGCACATTTTCTCTCTTTATTTTTATCATTGAAATGGAAGCAGATTTCTCTTAGTTTAAAAGATGCAAGTCAGGAACGGCCAATCCATTTGTGATTGTATTTCTAATATTTCAACTATTAATTTTGTGTGCTCCACTAAATCAAAAGTTTTCCAATTGAATTGGTATGGCATTAACTTTCTCTCCAGAAAACGAGGGGAAAAAACAAGTTGACTAAAACCTGAAAGGCAGCTAAATTTGTATTCAGTTAAAAGACTCTATCTATGTATTGCCACAGGCCAATTTTATAACCAAGACTTCAGATCTCTCATATGCAAGCATACATTTTCTTTGAAATGATTCAAGTTACATCCTTTTTTCCAGCATATTCTGCATACTGATTGAAAAAGATAGACACATTTTTTCTGTCAAATGTAATCCATTTGCAGGTGTATTTGTGGAGTCATGAGAATATAGATTTGACCAAGACACTGAGTGTGAAAATGTTATTGATGAGAAGGCCTTTGTCTATAGTTACATCACAAGGCAATTTGTCAGGAATATTTGGAACAATATTCCCATCTCTTTGTGCTGTCTCAGCTGAAATTTTTTCCAAATAACTTCTGTTAGTAATTTTTCTGTAACAAAGGACATCTGGAAAGACGGAGATGCCCGATAAACCTCTACGATGGAATATGGAAAATACCCTCCAAGGTACAGGGGATTTTGAAGTGATATTGACAAAATACAGTAATAATTATAAATGTATAGCAATATATATTAATTCACTCAATCATAACCAAGTGCTTGAATATTCACAAATTTCCAGATGTTGCAGGAATTGTCCTGAGCAATTCCTGCTCAGGAGAAGCTCACACTAATGAGAAAGGTGAGCAATTAATTAAAGCAAAATACCCAACAGTGGGTGCGTGCTTAGCAAAATGCCGAGTGAGATGAACACAATTTTAGAAAAATATGGCCTCTACATTAAAACCTAAACAAGAAGTGGCATTCTGTACAGCAAAGGAGATGATCAACAAAGTGAAGAAGCAACCAACAGAATGGGAGAAAATCTTTGCACACTACATAACTGATACGGAAATAATATCCAGAATTTACAGAGCTTCAGAGACTCAATGACAGCAAAACACATGTTAAGAAATGGGTGAAGGAATGAGCAGGCATTTTTTTTTAATTTATTTTATGTGATACAGTTTTATAGGCACTGGGGATTCTCCCCACCCCTCTTACACCCCTCCCCCAATAGTGGATTCCTCTACCTTGGAGCAGGCATTTTTTTTAAAAGATATTTTTAACCTATCTAATCAGTTCTTAAGCAAACAGCAATTTGTGTTTCTAGGTCATGAGTTAACCATTCAAAATTTTGAGTCCTACAGTTCTTCACATCTATGCTCCGTGCAACTGACAGAAAATTTACTTTTTAGGCCAAATTTCTGTGATTCACACAAGAATCAGGGATCTTCAGGGGATTTCAAAATTGGTCAGTGACAGAAGGATGGACACCTCGTTATAAATCACGTAAGATAACTAGTGACAAAGCTACATCTGAGTTCAGTTGTCGTGGTCACCAAAGACAGTGTTGTAACCATAGGGGGTCGATTCATAATGAATAAACGAAAGGATTGGATGGAATCTGTTTGGTTATTTCATGCTCACTAAGCCAATCACTAATCATGGGCTTTTACAGGATATTTAGTTTTTTAAGCTTCATTTTTTTCCTGCAAAATATTGACAATTTATCACAAAGAACAATTATTAAGAATAATACACATAATAAATCATTATTATTATTAATGAAATGTACTAAACAAGACCAAAGTGACCATTAGTTATTTATTACCACAGAAACTAATTTTCATGCTATATCACATTTATATATAAACTATGGTTTTGTTTTGTTTTTAGCATTTGTGGCACTCCCCTGTGTTTAATTCACAAGTTATATTAGGAGTGAGATTTACAATGCATGATTGCAAACATGCTTAACATTTCTGACTATGCCCTTATATCAGAATACGTTCCTGCCTAAAACTCAGCTGATTTTCACAGAAAGTAAACCTTTCATAGAAAGTAAACCTTTACTTCTAGGCATCCTCTCCAAATGCAGTGTGCAGTGGAATGTTAAGTTACATATCTTTTATTACTCAAATGATTTACTCAGTGTCAGGATGTAAGCACCAGGTTAATATGGGTATGGTTTCTGGGTATGTTGCCTTTCTGCTTTTTAAGTTACAGAAGATTGTAACAGCGAACTGTCAACTTTTAGTGGTTTTTAGTATAAGTCCTAGAATGTCATTGTGTTAAAACTCCACCTGCCTCTTACAATATGAGCAAAATCTTTTAGAGACCAGTTTCACAAAATCTAAGTCTGATAAGATGGAATTACTGAATCAGTTAGTGTGAATAGCAGGATTAAGTCATAACTGCAAAATATAACTTCCCAAGAGGAATCAGAGTTGAAATAAAAAGGATTATTCTGAAAGTGAGTAGTGTTTGCTACGTTTGAGGCTCCGAAATCCTGCCAGAAAATGGTCAGAACCATAGAGAGATTCAAAGGGGAGACTTGGTGATAGCCTTTCACACTACGACAAACATTTAAAACCTAAGTGTTAAGCTGTTCAGCAAATGTAGACCAGTACTGCTCCAAAGCTCGTGTTCTCATTTGATCTTCTTTCTCTGCATCACCCATGCCCCAAGCAAGAGAAAAATAAAGTTGATATTTCCACACAAAAAAATGGCATTCTACCATTTTTGCTTTTCATAGCCACTAAAACACTGAATGAAGGAAGCAAAGACATACTTAGTGAGAGATAAAGTTTGTTAATACGTTAGCTAGTTTCAGGTGGGTTTTTTTTTTCCGTTGGCATTGAAATGCCAGCTGTCTTCTCTTTATCAGGAATAAACCAAAATACAAAATAGAAATATTTGATCCAAGAGAAACAATCGAGATAAATGTCCAATTGTAAGCAGAAGCCTCGGGGGCGGGGGGAGGGCAGGAAATGTGAAGTTATCATCTAGAAAGAATTTCAGATGAAAAGATGAATAACATTCAGTCCCTTAATGATGATGCCAGAAAGGAAGGAAATGAATCCAGCTTTGCCATCAATAATAAAAAGCAAGAAATGATCATGAGGAGAAAAGCATTAAAAGTTGTTTTATCACCATTATTATTTCATTTTATGACACAGTTTTATAGGCTCTGGGATTCCCCCAACTCCTCCCTAAACCCCTCCCCTCATATTGAATTCCTCCATATTGTTACAGTAGTACAGTTCAAATTCAGTCATGATCCCTTCATTGTGGGCATGGACCATGCAGAGAGTCCAGCAGCATTTTATTGTCCAGACAAATTCAACAGTTTAATTGGGAGACCATCCTTGGTCTGAAAGTAGAGCAGGCAGAATATCATCCCCTCCAACGAAAAGCCACTACATAACTTCAACAACAGGAAGAAACGTGGAAATTTGCAACTGGGACAATCTGAAATCAGAATCCTGCAGCTTCAGATGTTTAGGGGCCAGGGACCCAAGTACTTGCAGGTGCATTAGGGGAGAACTGTATCAGAAGTAAAACAGTCAGAGACTCAAGGGATGCTAATTATCAGAAGGATCTCCTTACTCTGCTACACCCCAACACTGGCCCACACTCATTCCATTAAAGAAAAACAATTTGTTTCACACACACATCTTCCAAGTAGTTCTTTTAACTAATTGTATCATAAGCTAATACATCAGAGAAAATAGAAATGTAATCAATTGGACTAGTTAATTTGCATTAAAAACCAAGTAAGAATCACATTTTCAAATTGAAATTGGACCTAACTACATTTGAAAAGTTCTCAGCACATCTTAAAGCATTATTTCTAAATGCAATGCCTTTGTGAACTTACGTCATGCATTAAAATCTTCTAATGTACCTTTTTGTCAATTCTTCACAATAGTATTACAAAAGGGGGAAGAGGATACGTTTTAAAAAGCAATTGAAAAAGAACTCAATGGAAGCCTATTAGGCTACCTGTTGATGAGCATGTAAGAGGGTCATTAATATGTGAATCATTGACATGATAGGCCATAATGACTCCTCCAGGGATGTATCAGTCTATTGTATCAGAGACTAGCTGGGGATTCATTAACTGCAAGACTTCTTAATATGCAAATGATCAAGGCAAAGCACAGAGGCTTACTTCTCAAACGTCTGTATTTTGGGTTACACATTTTCTTTGTCAACCCCATCACCCACACCTATTGTGAATGGTTTGATTTCTTCCTTCCTCTGTCTCAGATTTCTTCACAAAAGATTCTACGCTCCTGTGGAATCAACCACTTCAATCTCGAAATCCTCTCGCCCGTCTGTCCATGTTTCTTTTCCCTTCTCTTTGTTAGCAATCTGTATTATTCTATTTCCTCCGCTTCAATTTATTCTCTTTCTAAATTAATATAACTTAAGATAATAATTTGTAAGTATAGGAACAAATGTTCAAAATCCTTTTAGCCTGTCAAGGCTGCAGTTATCTAAACTTAGTGGGTTTTTTTTTTTAAGATTTATTGATTTTTATAGGAAAGGCAAATTTTACAGAGAGGAGAGAGAGAGAGAGATCTTTTGTCCATTGGTTCACTTCCCAAGTAACCACAATGGCCAGAGCTGAGCAAATTCGAAGTAAGGAGCCAGGAGCCTCTCTCTTCCAAGTATCCAACAAAGGTACAGAGTCCTAAGGCTTTGGGCCG